TAAAATCATAAAATTAAAAATTGATAAATTTTGTTTTCTTGGAGTTAGAGCAAACTCTGTTTTCTTGCTCTGTTCTTTTAGCTAATGCAGCTTCGATGGTAGCAATTTGGGCCAGCACCCCTATCATCGTTCTTTAAAATATAATATATATATATATATATATATATAAGGGATATCAATTTGGGCCAAAACATTTACAGGCCCATGTTCTTCATGTTTCTTGTTTGATTGCGTCAGGCCCATTAAGGCCCAGCATGAGTGTGAAGTTGACAAACCCAACATCGACAATCTCCGACAACCAACCTCTCTCTTTCTCATCTCGTGAAAATCAACACCACCGGATCGCCACCTCCTCCGGTTATCATCTCCGTCTCACTCCTCCGAGCTTTCTCTCTTTTCGGACATGGAGAGAAGATGTTTTCCTTTTCTGATCCGGTGGACTCCTGTCCCTACTCCGGCGAGTATATCTGTTCAGGCTTCTCCGACGAAATTGACAGCCTTTCCGGCCATGCTCAGCCACACTCGACCCTCAGGTAAGCTCTTCTTCCCATCTAATTGCTATCACTGGCTCCATATAAAACTTTGTCTAACATTTTCTTCTAATTAGTTAGTACTATTTTCAATTTAACATGAAAACGCTATATTTATTTATTTTCCAACAATTTTTTCAAAAATGAGATAATTATTTCACATTGTTTGTAACTACCGTCGTTTATTTCTTTGGTAATTTGTGTTAGCTATGATTATTCCACAATTTATAAGTTTTTTCGCTAACGATGAAACTTTTCTAAATCTAATCCGATATACTCGGATCAATATTTAATTTCAGTTTTGATAAATTTTAAAAATCATTATCCCACCGTCTTATTATGTTCTTAAATAAGAGACATTAACTAACTAACTCAATCTCTTACGAAATTTACTTTTATTTTTTTGTCAAAGCTCCAAAGTTACTTGATGATGACGATGTCTGGAAGAAACAAGCGCAAAGAAAGATTCTCACCGGAACCGCAAACGCAACCACCGTCGGAGAATCCTTCTTTTTCTTCTTGTTTGTTAGCTGATAACTTGTCTTCTCCCTCGACCATGGCGTACATATTACCGCAAGGTTTTAAGTTTATGCCATCTGATGAACAAGTTATCTTTTGTTACTTGAAATCCTACTTGGACGGCTACAAGAACGTATTGCTTGATGTTCCTATTCATCTCGTCAATATTTATGAGTCGAATCCACGACTACTTTCAGGTTAATTTCTCTCCGTCCATATGTATTGTTTCCTTAGTTCTTTAGTTTAATAAGTGATTAATATATATCTATGTTTGTTTTTTTTAAATAGTGGATTTCGATAAGGGTAACGACAAAGAATGGTTTATTATAACGGAGAGAAAAAAAGTTGATCAAGGTTTAAGCAAAACAAAGAGAGTTGGTAATGGTGGGACAACAAGGCAGAAACGTGGCGACACTAAAGGAGGATATTGGCACGCAACAGTGGGTGCACATGAGATCAATGCTGGAGATATCGTTGGCTACAAAACGGCATTTGCATACTACGTTAGGGAACAGTCAGCCGACGTCAAAACTGATTGGTTAATGCTTGAATACTCGTTGTATAACACTTTTCACAACAACGACAAGGTAAGTTTGTGTTTCTTGGTTTCCAAGTTATTAAGATTTTGAGTTTTGGATTCTGTTTTGACTCTTGTTTTTGTTGTTGCGTGTAGGATTACACTTTGTGCAAGATCTATCTGACTCCACAAGCAACAAAGAAGAAGAAAGAAGTGGAAGAGCAGAAGAAAGGACAAGGCGTTATTTCAGTCGGAGAAAGATCCACGCCAGAACCGCAAAAGCAACCACCGTCGGAGAATCATTCTTCTTCTTCTTTTTTGTCAGCTGATAACTTGTCTCCTCCGTCGACGATACCGTACATATTACCGCCAAGTTATAAGTTTGTGCCAGCTGATGAAGAAGTCATCTTTTGTTACTTGAAACCCTACTTGGACGACAACAAGAACGTATTGCTCAATGTTCCTATTCATCTTGTCAACATTTACGAGTCGAATCCACAACTACTTTCAGGTTTCCGTCCATATATATATATATATTGTTTCCTTATAGTTCTTTAGTTTAATAAGTGATTAATATATATCTATATTTTTGTTTTTTGAAATAGTGGAATTTGATAAGGGTAATGACAAAGAATGGTTCATTATAACGGAGAGGAAAAAAGTTGATCAAGGTTTAAGCAAAACAAAGAGAGTTGGTAATGGTGGGACAACAAGGCAGAAACGTGGCGACACTAAAGGAGGATATTGGCACGCAACAGCGGGTGCCCAGGAGATCATCGATGCTGGAGGTATCGTTGGCTACAAAACTGCATTTGCATACTACGTTAGGGAACAGTCAGCCGACTTCAAAACTGATTGGTTAATGCTTGAATACTCGTTGCATCACACTTGTCACAACAACGACAAGGTAAATATGTGTTTCTTTGTTCCCAAGTTATTAAGATTTTGAGTTTTGGATTTTGTTTTGAGTCTTGTTTTTGTTGGTGCGTGTAGGATTACACTTTGTGCAAGATCTATCCGACTCCACAAGCAACGAAGAAGAAAGAAATGGAAGCGCAGAATAAGAAGCAGAAGAAAGGAGAAGTCGCTATTTCAGTTGCACATGTGGAAGCATTGGAAGAGCATCAGCCTCGTAATGTCGAGTTTCCACAACCGCATCAATCGCAAGCCCTGCTGGATTCTTATCAACATCAGCCTCATGATTTTGCCTTTCAGCAACCGCAATTTTCGCAAGGCCCGATAGATTCTCAGCAACCGCTGCCTCCGCTGCGTTTGCTTGACTCATTAGAAGGTCTTGTGTCTTTTGAGATTGAGTATCAGCAGGAACAACAGAGTCACATGATGATGATGCAAGATTCAAGATCCGGGATGGCAATGACGGGCTGGAGAAACGACGAGAGCACCCAAGAAGACTTGTTGGATATGTTAAAAGATGACAGGTTCTTTAGCATGGATGAATTATTCAATGATGTGGAAGAGCATTAATTATGTCAAAGATTTTTATAAAAATATATTCATGCTTCATAAACTATATTCATAAGCATTAATTATGTCAAAGATTTTTATAAAAATCATTGTTGTGACTTTATAAGTTTAAACTACTACTATATATTCATATGTGTATATCACTCTGTTATCTGTATATCATGCTTCATAAAGTATATTCATCACCATTAATTATGTTGTTAATAAATTTAATAATTCAATTATTTGAAATCTCTAACGTATCAAATGGAGATTCCACCAAGAAACAAGCGCAAAGAAAGATCCTCACCGGAACGGCAAAAGCAACCTCCGGAATTGCAAACTCAACCACCGTCACATAACCCCGACCCCAACAATCCTTCTTCTTCATCTTCTTCGGTAGCAGAAAACTTCTCTTCTTCGTCGACTAAACCATTCATTTTCCCGCCAGGTTTTAAGTTTGTACCAACTGACCAAGAGCTCATCTTGCAGAACAACAAAGACTCATGGCTCCTCAAGGTTCCCGTTCATCACGTGAAAATCTACGAGTCAAATCCACAACAGCTTTCAGGTTTGTCTCCCTCGATTCTTTTCTTGAAACTCGAAGTGGGGTTTTACTTTTCTTGTTTCTGTATGCGAATGGCTCTCTTCTTTTGATTCGAAACAGAGAAATATGAGAAGGGTAATTATAAAGAATGGTTCTTTATGTCGGAGAGGATCATGATCAGTAAAGGTGGAAAAAGGCAGAAACATGGCGTCAGTGCAGGATACTGGAACCCATATCGAGCTTCCAAGAAGATTAACGCTGGAAACGGTGTAATCGGCTACAAAACCGCACTGGATTACTACATTTTGGGAAACAACCAAACGACGTAAAGGGGGATTGGTTAATGCATGAATACTGGTTTGAGTCTTCTGATGATAACAACGAGAAGGGATGTATGTGTTCCTTGGGTCACAAGCTATTAAGATTGTGAAGTTTGGATTTTAGTATGAGTTTTGTTTAGTTGGGGTGTGTAGGTCGATCATGCTTTGTGCAAGAAGAAGAAAGCAGAGGAAGAAGAGAATGAGAAGCTGAAGAAAGAAGACGTTGAGCAGCTGGATTTGTATCAACCATATCAATTGCAGCCGCAACAGCCTCATGACACTAACTGATCTCAGCCTGACTCATACTTTGTCATTTTGGTTTTCGTTTTCAAACTCTCTCTCTAGCTTCAAGCCTTTATGGGACATGTTAAATTCTCTAAAATCATAAAACAAAAAATTGATAAAATAATAATTTATACTTCCGAATGAGTACGACTGAATATATGTTTGCTCTAACTCCAATGGACCACAAATAATTTATACATGAAAATATATGAGAACTCCAGGATATCAGCTTTTATTCACGTAAGCTAGTAAGCATATACCAGATCACCATAGATGCATAGACAAAATTACACCATCGAATCGTAGAGGTTTATTTAATTAGATAAATTTAAGGTTTAATTATTTGACAAATGGTTTTAGTTACAAGTATGAATTTTATAAACTGCATTTGTGTGGCTAACTCAAATTTATCTGTTTAACTAAAATTTGACTACAAAAAATGAATTTAATAGCAACATCTTTTGCTAATTAACCCGAAAGTGTTGCTCTCAAAGCATGTGAGAGGCTACGTTCGATTTCATAATCATGTGACCCCACCACTTGAGAACATTCTTGAAAAGACATATATTCAAACTCGATGGCTTGCTTTAAACACTCATATATAAAACACATTGGGTCTGACTGGTGAGAGAGAAGAGGAAAAGAAATGAGAAGAATTCTCTTTCTACTAATACGTAGAAGAAAAGTTTCTACTCATAAAATAAAAATTCATTTGATAACAAAAAAAACTTTTCTTCCAATGTGGTAGGACCACGTGATATATTTTTCTTCTATGTAGCACACCAGTCACAGCCATTATGAACCTCCAAATCTAGTCATGACCATTCTAATTACTTCTTCTACTTCAATCACACACGACATACAGACAAACAAAAAAACACAATGCAGATACACAAACTCTGTTTTCTTGCTCTGTTCTTTTAGCTAATGCAGCTTCATGGTAGCAATTTGGGCCAGCACCACTATCATCGTTCTTTAAAATATAATATATATATATATAAGGGATATCAATTTGGGCCAAAACATTTACAGGCCCTTGTTCTTCATGTTTCTTGTTTGATTGCGTCAGGCCCATTAAGGCCCAGCATGAGTGTGAAGTTGACAAACCCAACATCGACAATCTCCGACAACCAACCTCTCTCTTTCTCATGTCGTGAAAATCAACACCACCGGATCGCCACCTCCTCCGCTGATCTACTCCTTCTCCGGTTATCATCTCCGTCTCACTCCTCCGAGCTTTCTCTCGTTTCGGACATGGAGAGAAGATGTTTTCCTTTTCTGATCCGGTGGACTCCTGTCCCTACTCCGGCGAGTATATCTGTTCAGGCTTCTCCGACGAAATTGACAGCCTTTCCGGCCATGCTCCGGCGAGTATATCTTTTTCCCATCTAATTGCTATCACTGGCTCCATATAAAACTTTGTCTAACATTTTCTTCTAATTAATTAGTACTATTTTCAATTTAACATGAAAACGCTATATTTATTTATTTTCCAACAATTTTTTTCAAAAATGAGATAATTATTTCACATTGTTTGTAACTACCGTTTATTTCTTTGGTAATTTGTGTTAGCTATGATTATTCCACAATTTATAAGTTTTTTTCGCTAACGATGAAACTTTTCTAAATCTAATCCGATATACTCGGATCAATATTTAATTTCAGTTTCGATAAATTTTAAAAATCCTTATACCCACCGTCTTATTTTGTTCTTAAATAAGAGACATTAACTAACTAACTCAATCTCTTACGAAATTTACTTTTATTTTTTTGTCAAAGCTCCAAAGTTACTTGATGACGATGCATGGAAGAAACAAGCGCAAAGAAAGATCCTCGCCGGAACCGCAAACGCAACCACCGTCGGAGAATTCTTCTTCTTCTTGTTTGTCAGCTGATAACTTGTCTCCTCCGTCGACGATGACGTACCTATTACCGCCAGGTTTTAAGTTTATGCCATCTGATGAACAAGTTATCTTTTGTTACTTGAAACCCTACTTGGACGGCAACAAGAACGTATTGCTCGATGTTCCTATTCATCTCGTCAATATTTACGAGTCGAATCCACAACAACTTTCAGGTTAATTTCTCTCCGTTGATATATATATATATTACAGTAAAACCTCCATAAATTAATACTCTATAAATTAATAAATTCTCTAAATTAATAAATTCTTCCGGTCCCGAGTTGGGACAAGTGTAAAATATGATATAAATCGATAAATTAATAAGATAATATTTTTTTTGAAAATCTCATATAAACATAAGGTCCCATCGATATCATAAATTAATAATTGTATAAACTTATTAATATATATATATATAATATAAATTTATATATGTCATATTTGAATTACTATGATATATATTTAAAATATTCTATGTAAAAAATTTAATAAAATATGACTCTATTATTCAAAAAAAGTTTGTGTTGTTTTTTTAAACTTAGTAATTGCTTCTCTACTTGTATTAGTTTTTAAAAGATATTACTTATAAAGAAAAAAATTATTTTTAGATAGAAATGTTTTTAAAAAATTACAAAATTAGTAAAATTTCTCTATAAATTAATAATTATTAATTTATCGATAAATTAATACCTCTTTAAATTAATAAAATTGGTTAGTCCTAACATTATTAATTTATAAATGTTTTACTGTTGTTCCTTATAGTTCTTTAGTTTAATAAGTGATTAACATAGGGAAAAATATCGTTTTATCTCCCAACTTTCAAAAAGTGGTCAATCAATACGTCAACTTCATATGTGGCCATTTAAAACATGAAATAAACTAACGTTGACTAACGTGACATTTTTCCCGATTAACATATATCTATTTTTTTGTGATTAATATATATCTATATTTTTGTTTTTGAAATAGTGGAATTTGATAAGGGTAACGACAAAGAATGGTTCATTATAACGGAGAGGAACAAAGTTGATCAAGGTTTAAGCCAAACAAAGAGAGTTGGTAATGGTGGGACAAAAAGGCAGAAACGTGGCGACACTAAAGGAGGATATTGGCACGCAACAGTGGGTGCACATGAGATCAATGCTGGAGATATCGTTGGCTACAAAACGGCATTTGCATACTACGTTAGGGAACAGTCAGCCGACGTCAAAACTGATTGGTTAATGCTTGAATACTCGTTGTATAACACTTTTCACAACAACGACAAGGTAAGTTTGTGTTTCTTGGTTTCCAAGTTATTAAGATTTTGAGTTTTGGATTCTGTTTTGACTCTTGTTTTTGTTGTTGCGTGTAGGATTACACTTTGTGCAAGATCTATCTGACTCCACAAGCAACAAAGAAGAAGAAGAAAGAAGTGGAAGAGCAGAAGAATGAAGAAGGCGTTATTTCAGTCGGAGAAAGATCCTCGCCAGAACCGCAAAGGCAACCAACGTCGGAGAATCCTTCTTCCTCTTCTTCTTCTTTTTCTTCTTTGTCAGCTGATAACTTGTCTCCTCCATCGACGATAGCGTACCTATTACCACCAAGTTATAAGTTCCTGCCAGCTGATGAAGAAGTCATATTTTATTACTTGAAACCCTACTTGGACGACAACAAGAACATATTGCTCAATGTTCCTATTCATCTCGTCAATCTTTACAAGTCGAATCCACAACTACTTTCAGGTTAATTTCTCTCCATCCATATATATAGTTTCCTTAGTTCTTTAGTTTAATAAGTGATTAGTATATATCTATATTTTTGTGATTAATATATATCTATATTTTTGTTTTTTGAAATAGTGGAATTCTGTAAGGGTAACGACAAAGAATGGTTCATTATAACGGAGAGGAACAAAGTTGATCAAGGTTTAAGCAAAACAAAGAGAGTTGGTAATGGTGGGACAACAAGGCAGAAACGTGGCGACACTAAAGGAGGATATTGGCACGCAACAGTGGGAGCCCAGGAGATCAACGCTGGACAAGGTGTCGTTGGCTACAAAACGGCATTTGCATACTACGTTAGGAAACAGTCAGCCGACTTCAAAACTGATTGGTTAATGCTTGAATACTCGTTGCATCACACTTGTCACAACAACGACAAGGTAAGTATGTGTTTCTTGGTTCCCAAGTTATTAAGATTTTGAGTTTTGGATTCTGTTTTGAGTCTTGTTTTTGTTGGTGCGTGTAGGATTACACTTTGTGCAAGATCTATCTGACTCCACAAGCAACAAAGAAGAAGAAAGAAGTGGAGGCGCAAAATAAGAAGCAGAAGAAAGGACAAGGCGTTATTTCAGTTGCACCTGTGGAAGCATTGGAAGAGCAGCAGCCTCTTAATGTCGAGTATCCACAACCGCATCAATCGCAAGCCCTGCTGGATTCTTATCAACCGCAGCCTCATGATATTGCCTTTCCGCAACCGCAGTTTTCGCAATGCCCGCTAGATTCTCAGCAACCGCAGCCTCATGATTTGGCGTATAAGCAACCGCATACTCCGCTGCTTTTGCTTGACTCATTAGAAGGTCTTGTGTCTTTTGAGAATGAGTATCAGCAGGAACAACAGAGTCACATGATGATGATGCAAGATTCAAGATCCAGGATGGCAATGACGAGCTGGAGAAACGACGAGAGCACCCAAGAAGACTTGTTGGATATGTTAAAAGATGACAGATTCTTTAGCATGGATGAATTATTCAATGATGTGGACAAGGCCAGTCCTAACAATTTCGAGGCGTAAAACAAAATTTAAAAAATGTGTCATACTATTTATGTTTATTTTTTTTATATATCATTTTTTTGTCAATATGTATAAATTTTTATATATAAAACTAAAAGACATATATAAAATAGGATTAAACAAATATAGGATTTTGCTGTAAAAAGAAAAACCTAAATAAAATGGACTAAACAAATCTTTGTTTAATAATATACATGATTAGAAATAAAATAAATATGACAAAATACCATGGAAGCTATCGAACTTTAGAAGAATTGTAACATGGAATATTAAGAAAACGCTATATTAACATTGAACAACATAATTATGTGGCCCTTGTAACAAATTATTAAATTGTGACCTAAAGCACTTGATTGGTCTGCCTTATGGAAAGACCGGCACTGGATGTGGAAGAGCATGGTACTGTCGTTACTCAACAGGAACAACAACAACAACAAGAGCAGCAGCTAAGTACACCGATTGTTGCTCCTGGGCAAGGTCAGGATTCAGGATCCGGGATGGTGACGAGCAACGACAACAACTCCCAAGAAGACTACTGGTTGGATATATGTAATGGCGTGTACATTGACATCGATGCATTATTGAATGATGTAAAGACGTGACAAGACGTCTGTGAGGGCCGTGCCTACTCAATAATAAAATAAACATTTGCCTACGTCTACAAATTTTATACAAAATTTAAGAGGCCAAATTTACAAATATTTACTAACATGATTGTGAAGTTGTATGTTTCTTAACATTAAATTCCCACCAATAACTCAAGCTTAATTTATGTGTATTCTAGAAATTTGAGTCCTTTCCATATATTAGTCTACGTACGTCCTTGTTTTTCGTTTCTTTTTTTACCACATTAATTCTTCATTTTTACCAACTTTTTCTTTGTTAGTCATATTTTATCAATTTTAGTTTTTATTTATACTTATTTCATGATTTTTAATTTTTATTGGTAAATACCACATTTTGTGTATCAAAATTTTTATTCTATTTTTCAACATTATGCACTATGATTGGTTAAAACCGGATGGTAACACAAATGCGATTCTAGTACAAATCACTAAGACTATACAGTAAAACCTCTATAAATTAATAATGTTGAGACCAAATTTTTTTATTAATTTATAGATGTATTAATTTATCGATAAATTAATAATTATTACTTTATACAGATATTTTACTAATTTTTTAATTTTTAAAACAATTTCTACATAAAAAGCAGTTTTTATATATAAACAATATCTTTTTAAAACTAATTACAAGTAGAAAAGCAATTATTAAGTTTAGAAAAAACCTCAAACCTTTTTCGATCAAGAAAAAATATTAGAAATGCACTCTACCAAGAATCTTAATACAAATTTAAGAAAATCAAACAACAATAGAGTCATATTTCACTAAAAAAATTACATTTAATATTTTAAATATATATCATAGTAATTCATATATGACATATATAAATTAATATCATATATATATTTTAAGGTATATATATATATATATATATATTAATAAATTTATACAATTATTAGTTTATGAAATTGATGAGACTATATGTTTACATAAGATTTTCAAAAAAGTTATTCTCTAATTTATCGATTTGTGTCACTTTTAACACTGGTCCCAACTCGGGACCTGGAGAATTTAATAATTTATCGAGTATTAATTTATAGAAGTTTTATTGTAGATGATTAATCACAAAATAATTTTTTTTATTTTATAATATTTTCCTGGCTGATTTGTTTATGAATTGTTTATGAATTGTTTTTGAATTATTTTTGTATTATATTTTGTGATAAAATATTTTTGTATTAAATTACAGTTTTGAATTATTTATTAAAAGTTAGTATATAAAAATTAAATGGGAAATTGTTAAAAATACCCTTTTTGGTGTGCCCCTTTTCAAAAATGTCCCTTTTAGATGTCCATTTTCAAAAATGCCCCTTTTTAAATCTGAAATTTTTATAAAGTTTTATTAGGTTTATAAGGTACTTATGGATTGTAACTACTACTTGAAGACTCGATCCAAGTATTTATAAGGTTTTATAAGGTGTTTTTAAAGATTTTACAAGTTATTTTAAAGGATTTTTAAGGTTTTTCAAAGGTTTTACAAGATATTTTAAAGGTTTTTAAAGGTATTTAAAATGCATTTATAAGGTATTTATAAAGTATTTATAAGATTTTAGATACATAGAAATGTAGTTTGTGTATGTTTTAATAATATTACATATATATTTGGGTAAATTTTATATTTTTAAGAGCATTTTTTATAAGGTTTTTAAAAAAGGGTATTTTTGAAAAGTGGCATTGAAAAAGTTGCATTTTTGCAAAAGCCCCAAATTAAATTACATTATTTATTTTGCTTATGGCCTTAAAACCTCTAGGCACTCTGTCTATGGAGAACTCACATACTCATACCTAAAAGAAATCGATTAGTGGTCTCACTCTCTCCTCCTTTCGATATCAGTCTCTCGTCTAAGTCTCTTTTTCTAACTATTCTTAACCCATGAACGCATCTTACTTTGGCTCTAGATTTATAATCAAATACAAATTGCAAATGTATAAATTACTTTGGATTTAGTATTGATTAAAGCTTCTTTAATTCCAGTTTGCAATTACGAAGATGAGAGGAAAATAGACTGGTGTCTCAAAACGTATATAGAGGAAAGGAAGAGATTGTACAACAACAACCTATGAAGCTAACAACCTATGAAACTGAGCTAACTTCCTTGAAGAACCGAGTCCAATATCTAGAAAACAAAGTAAGGATTTTGTATGATCTCATCAATCGTTTCAATGTTCTCCAATGGCAAAAGTAGTATATAGAAGTAAGGATATTACTTTATGTATTGGATTGAGACTTGTGTTATGTATGAATTGATGTTTTGTTTATGAAATGATGTATATCTTTTGGATGTTTATATATATATATATTGAAAACTAAACATGTTCCACCAAATGTAAATAGCTTAAGACAACTGCATAAAATAAGAGTCATAACACTGAATATTATAGCATCGTAAAAATTGTAGATCATAGCCTAGATATATCGCCATTATAAGTTGATATATGAAAGCATTTTACTAATGCTATGGTAGAATGCTCTATCATAACATACATGAAAAATGCTATCGTATGTGGAGGTCTACCATAACAGGGGAATAAGACATCATTTATGAAAACGCTATTGATGACATATAAGAGCAACATTATTGGTAGACTCTTAAGACTAGCTCTTAACAATAATTTAGTATTAAAATTGTACAGTTTAGAGTTAAGAGATTGTATTTTTGTTTTTTGTTTTTATGTGTCTTTAATGGTAGGCTCTTAACTTGTGGTTCTTAGGAAAAAAAAAATATTAATTTAAAAATAAAATTAAATTAACAATTTTAGTTTTAGAAAACTTAATAATTATTGCAAATTCAAAATTTTAACACATACATGAGATACAATTTATAACATATATGACATAAAGCATAATAGTTTTAAACTCGATTTCAGTCAATTTTTGTCCATATATGCTCGACCAAATCCACTTTCAATTGTTGATGCATAGCTCGATCACGAAGTCGAGTTCTAGTGGCCATCATATTTATAAGATTTGATGGAGATGATTAGCTAATGCCAGATTGACGGCCGGAGGTAATTAACATCGGAGATTCCTCCGATTTGAGTCGATTTCAACAAAATTTAGTATCCATTCGGATATTTTGTAATTTTGGTTCAGTTTCGGTTCTTTCGGTTTTAAAGTTTAGTATCCATTCGGTTATTTTGCTTAAGATATTTTCGGATATTTCGATTATTTTTGAGTATTTTCGGATATTTTTGGATATTTTCGGTTATTTTCGAGTATTTTTACTTTTTTATATATTTTCAAGTATTTTTGATTACTTGGTCTATAAATAACTAATTATTTTAAAAATATAATTGTATTTCGGGTATTTTCGGTTCGGTACCGATTCGGTTTCGGTTATTTCGGTTATAGAATTTAGTATCCATTTGGTTATTTTCAAATTTTCGGTTCGATTCAGTTCTTTTTGCTTCGGTTTCGATTCGGTACATTCGGTTCGATTTATTTGCCCATGCCTAATTTGACCCATCAACCACTCATACACGGTCACATGACCGTTTCTTACCTTAAGTTTTGGCTCTTAACTAAGAGACGTCTATTAACTATAAGCTTTATTTCTAAATTAAATTAAATCAATTAATACTTAAGATATATCTAAGAATTTGTTAAGAGCTTTCTGTTAAAGATGGTCTAATAGCTCTTCTATCTTATTAATAATGTAGATATTTTTTGTAGTGATTAAAGGAGATATTTATTTATTTAATTAACAAATTTAATCAAAACAACTTAGGAAAATAAGAATAATCTTATGGCTTATAAGCCCATTTCCCATTTCTCAAATCCCAAATACAGCCCATGTGTAATTGGGTTTCTTCTTTAACTTCCAAAGTAGGTCATTTGATTCTAAGTCAAAATTCCAAGCTTTACAAGCTACCCACTTCGGACATCCATTTCTCATTTGTAAGAACTTCGTTTTTGACATTCAAATACACTACCGTGTAATGCACGCAGCGACGATTACATCGTGCCCAAGAACCGGTCATTCCGATGAACGTCTTCACCGGAAAATCCACCGAAAAGTGATCAAAACCACTTCACCAGAAAACAAGTTCCAACACCTGTATCGTGTAGCTTAACAAACCACTCTTTAAAACCACTAAGACATCGTAAGTTATTGTGTTAACTCGAGTAAAACTTAAATATATATCAACAAATAAAGCTTAGAAAGGGGGAATCATCGTCATTATCATCACCACGCGGCGGCGTACGATTCAAAAGGGAGGAAATCGAAATGGACACCGGCGCCAAGTGGTAATAGAAAAGATGTGAGTAAATCGTCGAGGACTGGAGCCCTAGATTATGAAAGAGAAGGAACTGTGAATCCTTTTGGTGTTGGGAGTTGGCGGGTTAAGTTTCTTTTTTTTCTTTTTCTAACGCTTTACAATTCGATATATATATATGTAAGTTTTGTTCTGTTAAAGACAATTAGTAAAATTTTCCTAGTGGTTAAAAGTGGGGTTTGTGGGCTTCATGTTGACGGTTCCAAATGGACTTGTAACATAGTTTTTCGGTTTTATTTGGAGTCAGTTGCCACATCAGCCGTCCAACGCCACATCGGTGCCATATTATATGCTTAGTGATCGGAATTTAACGGTTGACTGACACCATTAAATTCAATGTTAGTTTTGGCCTAACATCGATAAGTTCAGGTTGTAAATTTAAACTTTTGATCAGTTCGGGTAGGAAACGGCCACTCGTTGAAGTTCGGGTATAAAAGCATAATCACAGAAATGAAAAAAAGTTGTGCATGCCATATATGATTATAGTGAAAACGTTAATGGTTTTGTAAGAGTTGTAATTACTTTTCTATATATTGTTGTCTTTGAGAGTGCATACCAAAAGCTGGAGAAGACAAATAAGAAAAACTAAGAAAGAACGCGAGTTTTAATGAGCTCCATCAATTCTATGTCACAACACAATCCGAGAACTTTTTACCAATGCAAAAATTTTGTAATGTTGTCTACTTGTCTTCATGTATTGCTTTGTTTTGTGCTTCTCTTTTTTTTTCCCTGTATTTCCACTTTAAATAATCTTCAAACTCTCGTCCTTCTAAATTCACCAAAGCATAGCATACTAAGGTTGGTTGTATTGGTGATACGGAGTTGGCTTTAAAAATTTCTGTAGATATGAGATAGAAACAATGTTAAAGCAACCATTGCTTTTCAGAATTGAGATAGAATAATAGGTTTTATGATTTTGTATTACCCTGATTTCTGTTTGATTGTTTTTCTTCTTGGAAAGAATTGCCACCCTCTCCAACCTTCTGGGACCCACTCATCTAAGATATGCAGAGAAGAGAAACCAAACCAGAGAGATTTGAGGTTATTGTTGTATATTCGTCCAATGTTGGAAATGTCGAGAGAGACGATTCAATAATTTCTCTTTTACGTTTTCTGTTGCTCGTAGTTTAATTGGAAGATTTAGAAGAAAGAATGGAGGATCTAAGATTATGAGAAAGAAGAAGAAGTTAATGTTGCAGTTTTTACTTTCGTTACACTATTTTATATGGATGATGACACCAAGTTCGTCAATTAAAAGTGAGAGAAAGTTTGGAAGAGGGGATGACTTGGAGATCATGGGAGAAAAAGCGGTTGCTAAGAAAGTGCTAAAAATAATTGTTGTCAATTATTTTTTGAGAATACTAAAATTGGATTACAAACATGAAATAACAAAATTTGAGAGTTTTGCTACGTGTCAAAAAGATAACGTTGCAGTTATTGAAAAAGTGACTGTTGATTTAGTATAATTAGATTCTGTAAATTGTTCGGGTTGATTTTGACCGTTTTCCCAATATAAACACTATCAATTCTCAAATTAGCCAATGAAGTATATAACACTTTCCAGATTTTCATTTCTCGGAAAAATATTGTTAGAAAAGAACAATTTTTTTCATTATTAGTTGAAATTAATCTTTATATTTTATCGAACCTCCAAAATAGAGATTCAGTTAGTTAAATTTCCAAATAGGCCTCTCCAACCCAACTTCATTTTTAGGCCTGGACAAATAAACCGAACCGAAACCGAAACAAAAAAAAACTGAACCGAACCGAACCGAAAATTAAAAAATAACCGAATGGATACTAAATTCTATAACCGAAATAACCGTAACCGAATCGATACCGAACCGAAATATTTCGGGTAACCGAAATACCCGAAATACAATAATATTTTCAAAATAATTAGTTATTTATAGACCAAATTATCAAAAATACTTGAAAATTATATAAAAATAGTAAAAATTCTCGAAAATAACCAAAATATATCCAAAAATATCCAAAAATATTCAAAAATAACAGAAATATCCGAAAATATCATAAACAAAATAACCGAATAGATACTAAATTTTAAAACTGAAAGAACCGGAACCGAACCGAAACCGAACCGAAATTTCAAAATATCCGAATGGATACTAAATTTTGAAACCGAAAGAACCGAAACCGAATGGACCCAACCGATAACCGAACGGTTAACCGAAATCTCAGGCCTATTCATTTCCATCTCCAAAATAGAATTTGGAGTTAGATTTGCTCCAACCAATCTCCATTTCCAACTCCAAAATGGAGATCTTCATTTTTGTCTCTATATTTGGAGGCTTCTATATTCAATTCACACTAAAATTTGGAGATCTCCATTTTTAACTTTAAAATAGAGTATGGTTGGATTAAAACTCAACTCCAAAATGGAGATACTCTTTTTTGGTGGAAAAAAAATGAAGACATAGGTTAGAGACGACCTAAGATGACCATCTCCAACTATCTCCATAATCACCTCCAATATAGAGTTTAGAGTTAAATTTTCACTCTAAAAAGAGATTAATTTTCATTTTTTCTCTAAATTTGAATTTTTATATTTTCAATTTACACTAATATTTGGAGATCTCTATTTTCAACTCCAAAATAGAGTAGAGTTAAAGAAAACCTCAATTCCAAAATGGAGTTACTCTATATATTTTTGAAATTTGTTTTAGAGAAATAGGTTGAAAAGGCCCTAAAAAAAAGCTAATGGACCGAGGAAAGAAAAGCTAATGGACTTTAATTTCATAGTAGACCAGACAAGCTATTAATTCAAACCAACATACTTGGGCCTCAACTACATGAAAGGGCTGGGCTTTTAAACCGAACCGAATGTACCGAACCGAAACCGAAGCAAAAAAAACCAAACCGAACCGAACCGAAACTTTGAAAATAACCGAATGGATACTAAATTTGATAACCGAAATAACCGTAACCGAATCGGTACCGAACCGAAATATTTCGGGTAACCGAAATACCCGAAATGCAATTATATTTTCGAAATAATTAATTATTTATAGACCAAATAATCAAAAATACTTGAAAAATCTATAAAAATAGTAAAAATACTCAAAATTAACCGAAAAAATATCCAAAAATATTCGAAAATAACCGAATGTATACTAAATTTTAAAACCGAAAGAACCGGAACCAAACCGAAACCGAACCGAAATTTCAAAATATCCGAATGGATACTAAATTTTAGAACCGAAAGAACCGAAAACCGAATGGACCCAACCGATAACCGAACGGATAACCGAAAGCCCAGACCTACATGAAACGATAAAATTTCAAACCGATGGGAAGTATAAGAAAAAATTGAGCCATAAAATGTTTTAAAAACTGTATTGGACAATTCATTATGGAACAAAAAAAACTTTGTAAGTTTTGCAGTATACTCGTTGATTTCTCGATTGATATATTTCCCTTGTAATTTTACTTCTTTTTTGAGAATCTATTTTTCTAATGAAATTATAAGAAAATCTAGAAGACAAAAAAAAATTTAAGGGAAAATCTCAAAAAACATCCAGAGGAACATATTTTAAGGTAACGTACTAACGTGTACGTGTTGACGAAAAGGCACACATTCATGGTAACCGTCGCAACCCACTACATTAGAAGTTTTTGTATTACACTGTTTCGACATTGTAAAGTCCGACGAAGAGAGACAAAAAAAAAACATTATTGGGATTAAGAGGATCAAGAGAATGATGGCAAAGATAAACTCAGTCTTGGAGAAGAAACTTGAAGAACTCGAGTCTCTACTTGAAGTAGTCACTTCTAACTATGATGATCCCAATATTCGAAAACTACAACTCGGAATTTTATTCGCCACGACCCTTTTAACGGCTGAGACATCGTCAAGACGAAAGGATGTGGAAGGAGAAGAAGACGTTGAAGAATTGTTTAAACTACGTTGCATGGCAAATAGGTTATCCGAAATGGAAGCTTTTATCACCAACCTATTGCCCGGTCATGGTAACGGTTCATTCATCAAACCGGTGGAAAGTTTGGAAACTAATGATGGTAACGGTGAAACCGGTGTGGATTACTCGTTGGTTGAATCTTGTCTAAACGAGTCTAAAGCAGAAGAAGAGGAAGAAGAGGAGGAAGACCTAGAGGCTGAGCAGCGACCATTGTTCCAAGATGCCACATCGGAAGAGGTTACGTTTCCGGCGGTGGCTACGGTTAAAGAAGAGGTGGTGGTTAGAGAAGTGGAAGAGAAGGGGTGTGTTGGTTTTAGGGCTTTGGTTTGTATCGGTTTAATTGGTTTATTTGGGTGTGTGATGAGTTTAGTTGGTTATATTGGTGATTGCATGGAGGAGGATCAATTTTTACTTACCCCAACTTAAATGACTGACTATTTGTTTCGTTTTCACTCTACTTAACGTTTACTCTTTTTATTTATTTTTGGTTAATCAAACTTGCATTCGTTCTCAAGAAAAGATATAGATTTTTTCATTGTTACAGTTTTGAGTACTATAATTTAATATATACTTAAGATTTCTAATTGATAAACAAAAACAGAGCATAATCTCGTAAATATTTCTTAAAGATAAGAAGATTGGGCATTCAATCTTTTTATTTGGTTCGATTCTTAGGTTTCTTCAACCAGTATAGTTGGTTGCTTCAAGCCTTCAACAAATCTTATGTGTAGAGAAGTTGTAAACGTATCCCCCTTTGTATCTTGTAAATGATGTACATACATACTGATATAAATTTCAGTAATTAACATTGATCAAAGCTTGGTCGTCTATAATTAGAATGATTTTTTTGTTGCGGTTGTAAAAATGGAGATAAATAAATCAGTAATAAATAAACAAGGATCACATACACACATGCATAACACACTCTTTAGTATAGGACATGCTGACTCTCCTCACAACCCTGACTTGAACGGCACGCCAGTGGCTGGCAACCATGAACCGCCAGCGATAAGACTTCCCACAGTAAACCGAGAAGCAACCGCCGTGCTCGTTATGGCGTGGAATCCTTTCCACCGGACCCGCCATCTTGTGGAAGACCCCGGCCCAAAATTTTTATACTCTCCATAGAAAACTGTATTAAGAGCAAAATTGGATCCTCTTAACCAAGGAGACCATCCCAAGGGGCTGATCGAGTTATCTATATAGGTCTTCATGATTGTGACGCGTGAATAAGCTTGCCACGGTCGGCCTAAATAGGTCTTGTAAGCTCGAATCACAGGCTTCAAATCAGATGCCGCGATTATCCTTGAGCTATGGATGGTTATCCCTGTATTTTGAAAAGGGTCACCGCGACCTTGTGCGGTTATGATGTTGGCTTGGCCATGGAGAGGTCTTCGGACAAGAATCATGCAGTTCTGGAACACAACAGCTGCATTTCCAAAGATAAAGTCGATGGTGCCTGAGATGTAACATTCCCTAAAGAACTGGCGTTGTGAATGAATGTAGAGCGTGTCTTGGAAGCCATGGATACCAACACGGTAGAAAACAGCGAGGTCAGAGGATGATCGAACCGCCACAGCTTGCCCACGTAATGGCCCCGCCGTGTTGATGAATGTCATGTCTTTTGCTACGAACCTTTGGCCTCCAAAGCCTTCAAAAGAATTGGAAAAAAAATCTTATTAGTACCATTAGAAGTCTTAAGTCAGATTTAGCCAAGAATATAAGATAAGAGTTTTAACCGGCGGTTGCAGAGTTATAGGTGGTGTAGCCGTGCTGGACGCTTCGGCCACTTGTGATGATTGTTTTTCTTTCGCCATCGCCGACGAGCATGATGTTGTGGTTATCATTTCCGACATCAATGTTCTCTCGGTAAACACCTTTCTTCACATATATCACAAATCTTGACTTGAATCTCCTTCTTGCTGCGAAGTTTATGGCAGCTTGGATCGACCGGAAATGGCCGGACCTGTCTTGTGCCACCACTAGGTGAGGCATCGATTTCGCTAAAGTGGCTGATACGAGTAATTTTCTCTCGTGTCTTGAAACCCAGCTTGGGAAGTATTCTTTGTGGTTAGCTTGACAAACCAAACAAATTGGAATTTGACCGTGTTAGATAAAGTCATGTTACATAATATGATAATAACTGTATTCTCGTCAAATATACCGTCTAACATGAAAATACAAAAAAAGATTGAATGTCTATTAGTAGTATGCATCATGGGCGGACCCAAAGAAGCTTAAAGGGGGTCAGCTGACCCCCCTAAAATTCTAAATTTGTATTATAGCCCTTTAAAATTTATGATATTATTTATATGCATGATTAATCTGATCACGTGTGAACAAAGATTACATAAACGTAACACTTTAATTTACTTTTTTTTGTTGCATCAAATTAAATGTATCAGGAGAGAACTAATAACGAGAAAACGATAACGATAATTTTTGAACAAATTGGCATGCATATTCGTAAATGAGGAATCTAATTAGAGAAATTCCCAAAATAGCACTAAAACAAGTTTTATGGACAATAATAGCACACTCTCCATAAACTTCCAAAAATAGCACTAATTGACTTACTATTAAGTTTTTGTTTAAAAAGTATTATCATTAGTTTATTTTTTTAACAATACTACAATTTTTATATAAAAACTATTCAAACAAATGAAATTATAAATTAATTTAAAATATTATATTTGGGTTCTCTATTTCCAATTTAGGGTATATATTTCCACCGTTTAAAAGAGATTTTGATTCATTTTAATATTAGTTTATAGTATTATATTTGGGTTCCTTATTTCCAATTTAGGTATATATTTCTACCATTTAAAAGAGAATTTTCATTTTAATATAACTTTGTGGTATTATATTTGGGTTCAATATCTCTAATTTAGGGTATATATTTTTACTATTTAAAAGAAATTTTGATTCAATTTAATATTAGGTTAGTGTTGCTCTCATTTTTATTTTCTATCTTATACTTTAATTAAGTTTAATTGAAGTTTATGATTCTATTTGTGGAATTTTAGAAATGTTGTGCTAATTTTGGAAGAAAAACTTTTTTTGTGTTATTTTTGTCAATTGCTCATCTAATTAACCAGTTGAAGTAATTTTGTAATAATTTTTGCTTTGCCTCAAAGTAATTATAATACTAATAGAACGTACCAGCAGTCGTATGATTATGTTGCTTCATGAGAACTCCATTGACGGCCAAGCAGTTTCCAATCAAATCCGACAAGTTCTTGTTAGATATCGCCGGCATGACGAAATCTGAGACGTTAAGATCCTCGGATCCGGACCGGCACGTTTCAATGTTGGTTTGAGCCGTGCTGAGCCAAGTCTGTGCGTCGAAGTCTGTACACTTGACATCATCCTTAGCCGCCGGGTTAAGTCCCTTGAGCGTTCGGTTTAGCTGAGTCACCGTGTTTTGAAAGAGCTTTACGCAGTCTGACCAAGCGGCTTTCCTTTGGTTGTTGGTGCAGCTTGGTCCGAACTTAACGGTTTGACTGTGTGTGATTACGGCTTGGTCAAGTGCTATCCTGACCAGCATCCGTAAGAACTCGGACCGGAACCTTGGTGGTCGTATGTTAATGTTGTTTTGTGAGCTCTTCCGGAAGTAGTAATTGCATGTCTCAGCGTGTGGAGTCTTGTTGCACCACCATGTCATGTCTCCAGAGACAGAGCCGTTGTTGATCGGAGATGGTGCAGCCACTGGTCCGGGAGACGGTGGAGAGGCGGTAGAAGGACTCGAGGTGGGGGTTGGGGATGGTGCGGTTTCTGGTGGTGGGGAAACATTATGGTCCCACGGAGGAGGAGCATCGGTACCACCGGTGAAGCCACTGTCGTGTACAGCAGAGGAGAACGGTAGAAGAAGAAATGAGGCCAAGAGGCAAATGTGGAAGATGCCTCTAAGCATTTTTTGAAGTTCTTGGCTATGAGTTTGTATGGGGAATTGGGAAATTTCTTGGTGTGATGTCTTAACTAATTAAAGGGATTTAATTTTGTATATTAAATTAGGTAATAATTGTTTTTAAGAATTATTATTTTGAGTTTGTGTGTATGTACTTTGCAAGTGATTGTTATTGAGGGGAGAACATGATGATGTGTGTTGTCTTTGCTTGGGATTGTATTCATATGATATCATGACTTACATTCTTATTTAGCAACAAATGATTATAAAATCATATAATATCAAACACCTATATAGATGCCTATAATTGATTCCATTACATATTAAAAAAGTATTAAGAAAAAAATGTCAAAATGACAAAAAGAGGAAAAGTGACTTAAAAGGAAGATGAAGAAAGATGTGTTTTTCCAATGTTAAAGTAACCTTCCATGTGCTTTTAGCTCAGTTTCTACTCTTGTAGTTTCAAGCATACGCAAACTCTTACAATAATCCTTGTTTATATTGTTACTATGATTACATGATACATATTTTAATATTTGTGTTAAATATGCAACTCTTGAGAGTTTTACTTTTATGTTGACTATTCTCTGACGTTGTCACCAGCTAGTGTCTTCGTGACCACCTACCTAGTGTCTGTTTTTCCGCAAGACGTCGTGACCACCTAGTGTCTTCCTTAGGAAAGGTGTTCATATAAGCCTTGGAATTTTCACTGATCCGGACCAAACCGAATAATGCTTGAATATGATTGGATTGGTTTCAAAACCGAACAAAGCAAATAAAAATTCTACCGTTACTATTTAAAATACTCGGTATGAGTAAAAGTGAATCAAAAGGCCTAGGAGAACTATCATAATGTTACAAACTTACAATAATGTTATATAAGGATTACAAGTTTACAACAATGAAAATGTCAAAATTGAAGAAAACTGAAAATTCTATTGATAACTTTTTGGAATAAATATGAAAGACTATCATCATCCATCAGGCCGAAGAAGTGTTTTCAGCTGAAACAGAGGATTCGCCCAAATACTCTGAACGAAGCTGCATAAGTAGTCGACCAAGATAGTTAAGCCCTTCTCCTTCACGACCACCTCCCCAGAATAGATCATGCGGTGAAGCCTCCACGAGAACCGATCCAACGGTCGAGAGCAAAATTGATTTCAAATGAGGATAAGTTGAGAACTTGCATTTTAGAGCTTTGTACATTACTTCTATCTTCACATCTTCCCAGTCATTCCGAACCTAAAACAATCATTAAAGCGAGCAAAGCAGTATTATTAACAATCTCGAGAGACCAACGAACGAGTGAAAACTGTTTTGATGCTCGAAACTGGACAATTGAACTTTTATTCATACCAGTTCAGGTTTCTGTCTCAGTGTTGATCTGCCTATCAGAGCTGCCTCCTCTGGACTTCTAGCTGTTCTAATTTTCTCAACGCAGTCATGTGCCATCGGATTTTCGACCCCAACAAACTTGTTTGCCTTAAGGTTTTGGGTAAAGGATTAAGAGATTATGTTATATTGAAAAAGTAAGATACCATTTTACATGGACCGTTGTGGGGTACCTGATAGTA